AATTTACTATTTCCGACAATAGAATTAAGGAAATGGAAGAATGATGAAAAACGATGAAAGGGACGGGAACCCATGACTATTGGGAGATTGGCCTAATTTCGCCTCGATTACCCGCCTTCAGCTCTGACTCCGGATTGATCATTTTCCCCGGATTTTAACAAGTTAACACTACTGCCGATGGTCGAGGTTCCCTGCGACGCTTTCCCTGGTGTGCTTGATTACTAACTTTACCGCAGTTGAGATGTTCTGAGAGCAGGAGTCGCATGGACAGCATGGGGTGTTGCCGCCTTGGGTCGACTATGGTGTTTGGTTTGGTACGGATACGACGGTCGTTACGGAGTGGCGACATCCTACGGTGTCTGACGTGCTTCAGGTACGATATGGGTCTCGTGACAGCTGTCTCACTACGGTGACTTATTTTCAGGTTTGGGACAACTGCAGTGATTTATTCTCAGGACCGGGGCCACTACGACAGTTATTCCAGGCGGTAGTTTTTTTTCAGGTCCGGAAACGTTGCGACATTCTATATCAGGTTCGGGACAGGTTAGCATGGCATGATTGTACGGGTTCGGCATCCGCATGGCACAACAGCCCGGTACTGGATTTCGGGTTTGGTCAGGTTCGGTGGCATCGCGGTGTTTCGTTTTAGGTTCGACGCCCTCACGACAGTTTATTTCAGAACCTCTGCGGTGATTTATTTTCAGGTCCGGGATCATTGCGACAGTTTACTTCAGGTTCGGTACTATTACCGCGCCGCTGCATCTTGCCGTGTTCAACATGTTTCAAGTACGGTATTGGTTCGGCATTGGCGTGGTACACGCCACAGCATCATTTTCAGACTTGGTACTGGATCCGTATCGACACGGCGCGAGGCACGGGAACCCCGGATGGTTATATCAGGTTCGGCTTCGGTATGGTAAGAATTACAGCAAGCCTGACTGAGTGATCTGGGTTTGACATTGACAGGTACGGATTGCTGAGATATAACGTCGAGACAAGTTCTAGTTGGCTAGTTCAAGGTTCGGAATTGGTATGGTGACGTCGAAACTTGTTCCATGGGACACCGCAACGGGGTACCATTTTTTTCGTGTGTGTACTAGCCTGGGACACTTACGCGCGCTGATCCAGCGATCGGTCGGAGATTGCCACATTTGCTCCGGTTCTTTGGGACTTGGTACCGTCAAACTGCCGGTATACGGGTAGTGTGGCCAGCGGCAGATAGAAGTGTTAACCTTTAGACATATGCAGACTAAGGGGGGGTTGGCTGCAGAGCTGTTTTTTTTTTGTGGGATTGGGCTTAGCTTGTCTGGCTCAAGGGACTACTTCTGCTACCCGAAGATCACTGGTACTGCAGGGTCTGAAGGGCCACGCGGTTTCGCAAGGTACCGTGCGGAAACTGGCAGTACAGGTGGATCCGCATGGGGGCCCCTGCCCCGACGCCGTGGCCACTACGGGCCTAAGTGCTTAGTCGCTCAGCTATCACTGACCCGCTAAAGCCCGTGGCAAGGAGGGGGATGTAGGGGACTATCTCGGCTCGGAACCATTGCGAAACTCGTCGGAGCTGTCTACGCCAGTGGGCTGGAGCTGGTGCCTGGGTACTCTGGACGCCGAGCCTGTGAGACCSGTACCACTGTTTTCTTTTTCCTCCGTGGCGCATCGGACTATTTCCTGCACACTTGCACTCCGAGAAGGCCCTGGTCGGTCAGACCATGGGATTGAAGGGGATATAGGGGAGAACAGTGAAGGGAATGGGATTGCATGCCAGGTGTGCCCGGCGTCAAGCAGTTGCAGAATGGGAGACGAGCTCGAGGCGAAGACGCGTCGGCGCTCAGGCGGTTACTTGCGTGTGAGAGGGAGAGTGAGAGAGAAGGGGACTGCACAACGGGAGTGAGAGACTGCGTGAGAGAGAGAGCGGACAGAGTGTGAGAGAGAGAGCGGA